AAACAACTCGCAATGATCATGACTCATAAATTAAAAATAAAATATGATATTTAACACGATCAGTGTAAAACAGTATAAAAAAAGCTCAATAACCTTTTCTAACATAATGATTCAGATATGATTTGTTTTAAACAATTTACATATATTATAATTTTTTGATTTTTATTTTAGCAAATAAATGAATGAATTAAATTATTTTATACATATATATGTATATTACAGTACTTATATAAGTGCATACTTCTGAATGAAAATTTTTTGTCTGCTAAACAACAATTTTAATATTACCGTATGGTATTTTTGCATGTAGTCCCTGTTCGGGCTATTAGGAGTACTTCGACCGCTCATAGGTGGGCTTTGTCTATCCATTGAACGACCACGAGCAAGTAAATTTACATGTTCTAAACTGCCAACACGTGACTCCAGTTCTTCGGCTCTAGCTTCTGTGGACTGTTTTTCTTCCTGAATTAATCTATCAAACAAAAAATTAATATAAATTATTAAGAAAAAAAAATATTTATGTTATATAGATTCATACCTAATTTCATTGTTAATGGCATCAAGCTGTTCCTGCAGCATCATTGCTAATGTCTGTGCGTCTGTATGACCTGAAGGTGACATCATATCTGTAGCAGCAAATATTACATCACCATCATCAACTTCAGGCGCTACAGATATTTCAAAAGCTTGCTGTGCGTGTGCCTGCTGCAGTTTTTCCCATTCCTGCTCTGCCATTGATCTAGCGTATTTTTCATTTTCTTCTTGCAAACGTGATTTATTTCTTCGCAGTGAATGCGTCTCAAAACTAGCATGCGAAGCACTACGTGAAAAACTATTTCCATCCACAGCACTGCTGGGTGAAAGACTACGGGTTAATGCCTCAGTTTGTTGTATATTGTAAGCAATTTCTTGTTGCAATAATTGCCGCTTGAAATTTTCAATTTCTAAACGTGTCTTTGACAAATCCTTCAATATCTCACTTTTTTCATGATGCAATTCTTCAGCAATTTTACGCGCCTTTTCTAGTTCCTGCGTTAATGAGTTCTTCTCATCTAGTGCATGCATACGTTCTTTCAAATGAACCTGTAATCGTTCATTCGATTCAGAAAGTAATTTGTCAACAGTTGACGATAGCCTTATGTTATGCTCCTCATTCATTTTTAATCTTTGGTTCAGTCTCACAACTTCGGCGTTCTTTTCTTCTAACGTGGTTTCTAGTCTCTGTATACGATCCTCAGCTGAACCGTGACGTTCTTGAGCCTAAAAATATAGTAGTAAAAAATGTATTTCACATTTTTTTTTTTTTTTTTTAAATTCATACACATGCAAAAAAAACAATAAAAATAAAAGCTACTAACAAAATCTAATATAAAGTAAATAACAAAATTAAAAACTAATTACAAGCATGTACTAAAGAATGCTAAAGAAACATATGTTGAAATATTTATATATATACAAACAATACAAAACAATAATTAAATAAACAAAGATCTTATTAATATAACGCACTTACTAAATTTATTTAGTACAAACTTACAATCTGAGTTGTTTTACGTTCTAAACTAGTAAAAGCAAATTTGTTCTTGCATACCTTATTTCCTACCTTAGCTAAAGCCTCCATACGCGCTTTAAGCTGTTCTTCCATATCAGGTTGCATCTTAGCTTGTTGTGCTAGTTTTTGTTCGGATAATTCTAATTTTTCTTCTATTGCACAAATTTTTTCTTCGTGCAACTTTATTTTTATTTTATTTAATTTTTTTTTTTTTGGAATAAGATAATGAATTAATAATTATAATTTGAATTTGAATTAAGGTTACAATATTTACCTTGAGTTGTGCTTCTTTATGGCGTAATTCTTGTTCCAGTTTTTCATTCAAATCGTGTAACGATGTGGATTCACGTTGAGCATTTAAGTAACGTTTTTCAAGTGTAGCTATTCTTTCCTCCTAAAATGAAACAATTTTACATATATTAAATTTAATTGCTTACAATAAGTTATAAGTGTCTCTTCATACCTGATCTTCCTTTTGAGCAACATTTTCACGTAAATCTCTTTGCAGTTTGGAACACTGTTCTTGAGACTTACACAAATCTTTTTGAACTCTTGACAAGTTTTCTTCTAGTTCACAGATTTTATTGTTAAGATCAGAAACTCGACGTTGCCATTGTGACAGCTCTGCAGTCTAAAGAAAAATTTTATTAGAATGTTTGTATTAGTCTTGTTTATTTTATTAGTTTGTTTTTTTTATAACTTAATACAAGTCATTATATAAAAATATAAATTTAAAACCGCGACCTAAAGCCCGACAAAATTGAAAAATTTTATTTATAAAAAGTGTTCAACAAATACTACAAAAATTGTACTGAAGTTCCAAAAAAAATAAAATAAAAAAATACAATAATTGATTGAAATTACAATAATTGATTGCCTTGGCAATTTTCATAAGCTTGGCTTTTAAGCTATATACTTTTTCTTTGTGCTTAAAAATCTAGCTTCTGTAGCTTTGTCACTGTCACGATCTCATAACCATATCATGGTTAAAAAGCCATGCCATCAGTATATAGTTCAATGACAATACCTGGACAACTTCTGTAGCTTTGTCACTGTCACGATCTCATAACCATATCATGGTTACAAAGCCATACCCTCAGTATATTGTTCAATGACAATACCTGGACTACAGTAGTGGCTAGTCACTGTTCTAATTAAAAACTACTACAAGTGCAAGTTTTACTTTGATTTTAAAAATTAAATTTAATATAAACTTACTTGTTTTTCAATAATTGTTTGCAATTCATGAGTTTTCGCAGAGTAATCACTTGCTTCATTGGTTTCACCATTCACGCTACAGGCCTACAAATGGTTACAAACATTAAGTTAATTCTGTTCACATATTAAATGGTGGTAGAAAAAAAGTGGTTATACCTTTTCAGTTACTCCATTCTCACTATTTGCATCACGTTTGACTTGTATTGCACCTGATTTATATTGCTGAAGCTAAAATAAAAATATTATATAAAGCTTTAATAATATAATTTCTGAAAATGTTGAAATTATTCACCTCTTCTTTGGTTGAGTTTAACTCCTCCTCTAAGGTATTGTTTTTTTCTATAGATATGCGTAAGCGCTCTCTGACTTTTTCGTCGAGCGCTTTGTGATGTTCAAATAAACTTTTTAAAGCTTTTAAAACCTCAACTTCACTGGAGACGCCACTTTGTGCTGCCGCCTGTCTTTTAACAACTGTCATACGTAAGGAACGTTCATGCCGCGACACCAAGCACTCCAAATGTTCTAAGAGAAGCTGTAAACAAATAAAAATACTTTATTTAATATTGATCTTTTTCAAAATTTTTTTTTAAAAAAAGAAAACTTACTCGTGTATTGTTGCGTTCTGCTTTCAATTCACCGATTTCTTCATCTCTTTCTAGTAGTGCCTCTCTTGCTTGCGTTAGTTCTTTAGTTAATGTAGCAAATTCCTTAAAATTTTAAAAAATTAATTATAATTATTTCATTTCCTTAATAAGGTAACAAGTAACAGCATTATTGATAAATAATAAGTAATGATTTCTTCAACAAGTTGTCTAACAATTGAGATAATAGAATTATTATGATACAAGTTTATAATAGAATAAAAATGTAGAAAGTAAAGTTAGCAAAACTGCGAAAAATCGCTAATGGCCTGTCACTGCAACCAATGTTACACTTGGTTATTAGGACTATTTAGCATTTATTTTGGACTAGTCTTGTATGTGTGTGTACCTGAGTTAATGATTCATCATCTTGACTCTATTTTATCCGTGGACAATTTTAAACCACACTAAGAATTACTGTATACGGGACCTTTATGAAATTATGGATGTAATGTTTTTGTATCTGCCTGTGTTCATCAGGTTTCGCTGTGTTTTTAGGTTGTTAAGTGTTGGGGTATTGTGACTGCCAATTATGTTGAACAGTTTCAGTGCACGATCTTTAATGTATTTTACGACTGAATCGACTAATAATGACACCCATTCAAAATTGGAATTTTTGAATAGTGTGGAAATGATAATTGAACATAGTCTGCGTCAGAGTAATTAGGTGATAAAAGACCTAACCATCTGAAAGAAGTGGAGTCATAAGTCTATATAGTACAAACAAACACAAGGATTATATCTACAGTTATGTCTTAGACTGTAACTGATATGTGTACGTTTACAGTTCTTACTACATGATAGATAAGAACTGGTGCAATCCTTGTCCATTGTAATTACATACTAAGGCTATATTTATGGGGGTTTGTACAAGTAGTTTTTAAATATTATTATAATTATTAAAGTTTATTTCTAACATACAACTAAAATCCTTCGATTTACATATTTCAAATTGATATTACTGTTTACAGTAGAAAGTCAACTTTTAAAGCAGTTTTTCTGCAAAATTTTACGACTATGACTTCTTAAATCGAAATCTTAATGAAAATTAAATAATTATTAGAATAAATTAGTTAACATATGTATTGTTGATACCTGTGGCAAGTTTGCATTTATTTGACGTTGCAAACTGTCTCGTTCCTTTTCTACATCATGCAGTTTTACTTCAGTTTCGCTAAGACGTTCTTGTGCCTCACGCAAGCTATCCATTAACTTATCCCTTTCGTCCAGCATAGACACCATAAGCTGTTCGAAATTAGCATCTTCGCCGCTAAATTGTGAGGAACGTTGGGAAATGCTGTCCTCCGAAATGGTTGGCATAACGTCGCACATCATGTTCCACATTTTATGTTACTCACACAAAAACTAAAAAATAATAAAAAGTTTATATATAAATAATTAGGAATATTATATATTATTTATATGGTGTATATGAAATATATGTTTATATATTCATTCAATTTATTGTTAAATAAAACATTCTTATAATGATAAAGATAGCTTACAATTCCAAGAGTAAATTACACTTTCATCAACAGTGCTCATTGAGGAAGAAATGGGTACTATCACCTAAAACCATGATTTGAAAAATACTGAAAAACAATAGACTCAATAAGTGAAGTGGTTAATAGGATATGATGTTGGAAAGTGGTTTAGAAAAGAATTGAGATTAACTCCAGGTAGTCATGCTTAGGATGAAGACATTAATACATCTAACATTTTGTTTGTAAATCTTGAGACAAGTGGTTGTCTTGATATTGAATTACTACTTATAGTTATAAAAAGACGAATTCATCCTTTATATTACAGCAACAATAATAACAAGAACAGGTATTTGTATGGTCTAACTTTGTTAAGCAATTGAATTTAATTGAAGCTTTATATTCCTCTAACCATATTTATATTTACCTAACCATATTCCAACACTGTGTAGATATCTATAGATGGTTGTCTATAGATAACTACAACAACAGAGCTTCAAATATTATAGCCCATTGCATTAAGAAAGATCATTGTTCACTAATAAATTGCATATCAAAAACAAGGTGGTGGTACAAAAGGAGCTGTGCCAACCTTCAAGCTGTGCATTTGGTTCAAGGCATTTGGTTTAAGGTACCGATAAAGGATGTGATAACTTTAAATTTAAAAAAGTATTGCCATTACAATATCTTAATAAATATATAAAGCCAAGAGCTGATGAAGCTACTGTGTATAAGTTGTTGTTGTAGCACGCAGGGATATGATTGTGTTGTCTCTTTTGGAAGCTTACACCCGGTCATTTCTGGAACCGTGTCTACGTCTTTGAGTTACTCGTCAACAATGACAAACAATTTCCAAAATTCTGTCATAGTTTTTTGTCATAAATTTGCAAGGCAGGCGAACAAAGCAGATCACTTAAGGACTCATGGATAAGAAACGTACCAGTCATTTGTTTTAACTAATGCGTAACTTGTTTAGCACTATTGTATTGGAGCTGAGAGATCAATACGCGCTAGGAAGGCACTGAGTCTACCCTTTAATGACTTTTGTTGTGGTTTTGGCTCTGCAGATGAGGAAGAAACTATATATTTTACTTCATGTGCCAGTGTCCGTCTTTGAATATATTTCTTATTTCTTTTCTTACTAACTCTTACTGACAGAGTTACAAAACTAGAGACTTAGCCAAGTTTATAGAGTTGTCAAGTTGGTTTACTTTGATCTAGTGAATTGCAAGCAATATTTATGTTTAAAACTTATTGAGATTTCTATATCTATAAAATTTTCGGTTTTAACACAAAAAATCAGTCATGTTTCTAATCTTATATTGCAAATTAGAGGTAGTGGACGTTAAAACCACTTTTCCAGTTATGCAGATTTGAATTGATAGTAGGAAACTGCAAGACCAGATGCCAGTATCTGTAGCTTTGTTTAAATGGCTGTGTTAGTTATTAAATAACTTCATAATTGGCCCATTCGACGACTTAAATGAGTCCAAATTGTTCGGAATTGCTGTCCTCACCTAGTAAGTCATTTGTTCAATGATTTATAAAAAACCTAGCTAGCGTTAGTTTGGTATTTTATCTAATAATAATATATATAGCAGATAACTTCATAATGGGACCCATTCAATGACCTAAATGAGTCCAAATTGTTCGGAATTGCTGTCCTCACCTAGTAAGTCATTTGTTCAATGATTTATAAAAAATCTAGCTAGCGTTAGTTTGGTATTTTATCTAGTAATAATATATATAGCAGATAACTTCATAATGGACCTATTTGACGACCTAAATGAGTTCAAATCGTTCGGAATTGCTGTTCTCACCTAGTAAGTCATTTGTTCAATGATTTATAAAAAAACCTACCTAGCGTTAGTTTGGTATTTTATCTAATAACAATATATATAGCAGATCACATATATGCCGCTTTCAATTCCTGTCAACGAGCTTGGAATAGGAGTGTTTGGTTTTAGTGATTCAAAGGATTTGTGCTAATACTTGCGTTCATTCACAAATTATAGTGGTATATGGCACTAACATTTTTAACCGGAACTTGTCAAACCAATTATATTCTTATTGACATAATAAAAGTACATCCGAAGGTATTCCTTGTTATATTATCACATGTAACTTGTGCATATGTTCACTTCCAACCGTAACATGCTTGGGAACGTAAAGGGCGTATTGCAAAATAACCATCAACAAACCGAATATTTGTGGCTATTAGTTTTAAATGCCATGCAATGTTTATATTTATTACTACATTTCATTAATACCGCGCATATTACATATGTTGCACTATTTAATTGAACACATAAAAAGATTTTCGCCAACAACTTCACATATTTGACATTTTTATTGTATTTATGCAATAACCTGCAAAAATACGGAACTATCCATTCACATTTCAATACTAAAGTACCCGATATGTGCACTAACCGTCAAGTTGTACTATAAATCATTTATAAACATTTTTCAATTAACACCAAGTCGAACAATGTTATCACAAATAGTGTAGAAATTTTTTTTCACTTCTACCGCAAAAAAAAAAAATTATAAATGACAAAAGTATTCATCGCATTGTCAAACGGGGTGTACACAGTTTTTTCTTCTTCTCTTCTGACTTGCCTTTCGTTTCGCAAACATACACATTTTACACATATCATCGCACGCAAAAACTATTATGTTATATAAAACTTACTTTTAAACAATTTCTACCAAATCCAATTTAATTTATTTATTACTATCAACATATTTTTTAGTTATTTTATTGATCTTTCTTAACTTTCAGCAGCAACAAATTTTTTGTCCGGTCGTCGCCATATTTGACAAAACAAAAAAGTGAAAAAGACCTTATAGAATAACAACCGTGTACGTCGAGAGCAAATACTACATTTGAAATATAAAAGCAGTGCCATGCCGGACTTTTATTTTATACAATTATTATTACTATTAATATTTTTTTTTTGCAAATGCAAAAAAATATAATAAATGTTTTAAATTAATTTTTTATTATTCTATTACAAAAAATCTAATATTAAAAAAATAAAAAATTGATGCGAGAAAATTTTTAAATGGAAAAATTAAATTTTATCATAAATTAAGCGTTAAATATTTCGAATGCTGCCTAGAGTAAAGGTAGAGTAAATTAAAATTTCCTAGGAATTTTTTGCACTGCACTTTTGTAAGTATTTATTTATTGCACTTATTTATTATTTTTGTTTAAAAACTTTCAATTTATTTATCTATTAGGGACGTGTGCGAGTTAGGGTAAGTTGCGTTCCAAATTAGGGAAATTCTAAGTTGTGCCGATAATGTAGTGAAATTAGATAATTTGTATCTAATTTACCCTACTCGAAATGCTGGTAAATACCAACATTCGTTGCCATACCGACATAATATACTATTTCCCTAAGATTACATTCAGTTTACTCGAACTTGCACACGGTCTTAGGCACTTGCTCATTTATATTAATAAAGAAACGTATAAATTATAATCAGTTCATTTAAGCAGCTGATAGAACTTTTATATATCAAAAGCAAAACTTTCTTTTTTTTTTTTATAAATGAAATACAAAGAAAAATTTCAGAAAACGCGGAAAATTTGAAAAGTATTTTATATAAAGTGTTTGAATTTAACAACAATAAAAACAAAGCAATATTTGAATATCGTAAATGTCGTGCAATGCACTGAAAAAATATATTTGAAATACAGAAAAAGCAAATAGCAATACTTTCCACAATAATTGCTAGGAAACGGAGGAATCGCTGGACTTTTGTACTTTCTATAGTCAGTAAACATTGTTAAATAAAATTTAACAATAACATATATTTTTTCAGAAATTGGCATGTATGAATATTATTGTCAGTCGAATGGCGCCTGCAACCCGAAACTCAACACACGCTGTTCTTCAATAATAT